TCCCCACTCGCACTCATTCAAAATCTAATCATTTTTTATCTGGAGAAAAAGCATTTAGCTGTTCCCTGTGCCTCAAAGTTTGTTTAAATATCAGTCTGCTAATACAGATGGTCCTTAACATAGGAGCATGATTGAACCCAGATTTTCTCATGTTAAGTCAGCCATTTGTTAAGTGAGTTTTGCCCCATTTTATGACATTTCTTACCACACTTGTTAAGTGAATCACTGCAGTTGTTATTAACACAGTTGTTAAATAAATATTGCTTTCCCCATTGACTTGGCTTGTCAGAAGGTAACAAAAGGTGATCATATGATCCCAGGACACTGTAACTATCATAGATATGAGTCAGTTGCCAATTGGCTGAATTTTGATCATATGACCATGGGAATGCTGCAATGGTCATAAATGTGACAAAAGATCATAAGTCATTTTTTCAGCATTATTGTAATTTTGAGTGGTCACTAAATAGACTGTTGTAAATGCAGGGTTACTTGTACTTCAGATGGAACACTTGCTTTACTATAATTCACATTAAATATGATGAGGGAATTTAGGGTTTCTAAGCAGCTGTCCATTTTTGCACCATTCTGCTCACCTTGCAGTCACTCATTCACAAAAATAATTTCCTTCAGAAGATTAAGCCCCCCTGCTCTAGAACACAGTGGAAAACAGGATAGATAACTCTGCCAGAAAATACCCACTTTGCAGTATTTCTATATTATTTCAAATAAAACAAATGAGGTGTCTATGAAGTCACCAGGAGCCAAGTTGTGTCAAAATAATTTTTTTATGGTCCATATATTAAATACAGTACCTTTCCGTTTGAAAAAAATGCAGTCTTAGTAGTTAAAAGTATTTCTCCAGTGCGCTGCTTGGAGAGTCCAAACGTGGGTTAACACAGTGTATCTGCCCTAGGACTGAGTGAGTTTTTTTCTCTCTTTGGCCATGCCTCCCTTTGCCTCCCTAGTTTCAGTTTTAAAACTTAGTCCACCCATTTGGACTGTTTTGGGGAGCGTTCCAGTCCTAGAACAGATAGCTGGACCCCCCAAGCTTGAATTCTCTCTGAAAGGTTTTTTCCTCTTATTTGGACTCTAGTTTGTTGAATTTTCTGTTGAATTACCTTTGCTGAGGAGGCGCTGGCTCGTTTCACCGCCCGCTGGTCGCATGCAGGGCGGGAAACTGAATAGCTTGTCCGGTGGTAGCTAGCGAGCAAGGGGACCGGCGGGAGGCTTCCTGGTCCGCGTGGTCCCCCTCACTGTCTTTGCGAGTCGCACAGGTGGCTGAGTGCCCTGGCAGCTGTGGTGGTGCTCTGTTGTCCGGCAGAGACGGCGGTGGCCATTTTGGTAGTTTGCGCGCTTTTCCCTGGAGCTGCGCACGCAGCGGCCACCATTTTCCATGGAACCTCATGCGGAGCTGGTCATTGGAAGCTTGCCGTGGATCGCTACAGTGCTTGTAATTGCCTCTCAGCTGCAGATTGCTGCCAGGGAGTTCAGGCCTGGTCCGGGGCGCCGGCCAGGCCTGTCTGTCTTCTTACCTGTACCCGGATTTCCCGTGGGGCGGCTGGTGGGAGATTTCCAGCCCTCGGGCGGATCTCCCTCCACCGAGTGTCCCTGGGTGTGCTTCTGCCAGCTGGTGAAGTGCCTGGTGCCTATCCGCTGCGAATTAATTGATTGAAGCATGGCTGACGATGGAAAGGAGGTGCAGGAGGTGTAGGCAGGGCACTCTGCCAAGCGCAGAAGGATCGAGGTTCCCCCCAAGGGCAGTAAAGGGGGGAAGGGCACCACCAAGAAAGTCTCCCGGGGGATCTCTGGGATTTCCACCAAGGCCAGGGAGGGCCCCCGGAAACAAGGAGCTGTGGAGGCCAAGGCCCCACAGAAGCAGCCATCTCCTGTGCAAGCGGGGCAAGGACCAGGCTCGACCATTTCCCAGGGGGGTGAACGGGATTCCCCTTCCCCCCGGAACAGCAGGTCCCTATCTCCCATGGGGGAGAGGTCCAGGACCTCATCTCCAAGTGCCTCGTGGGGATATCCGGACTCCCCAAGTTCTTCACTCAGGGAGGAGCTGGGGCCTTTCCAGGGACTTCTTCCACCTGAGGAGGGGAGTAGCACTGGGAGTCACAAGAGCAGGCATGCTTCGTCTGGCTCTTGTGCCAGGGGGAGCAAGGGGCCTTCCCTGTCTGCTGAAATGAGATAAGTCATTTCTATTGCTATTTCCCAGGGTATAGCCAAGGGCATGAAGCACAGGGAGACCAGTAAGTCTGGCTCATCCGAGGCTAAGCGGGCCCCAGGCACCGGTTTATCCTGGCACCTCTGTGGCCACGGAAGAGTCGGTTTCGGGGGAGGAGTCTGAGGGCTTTGTGTTATTAATAGATGAGGATCTCCCACCTGACAAGCCGGCCTTCACTGGCCTATTCAAGCTGTCCTTGTTCAAGTCTATTTTGCATAAGGCCAGGACGGCTATTCATTTGGGCCCCGCCACCAAGGATGCGAAGGCCACTTCCTCCTTCCGGGGACCCCAAGGAGGGTCTGTTCAAAGAAATGACTCCTACTCAGAAGGTCATTCCCGTTCCGGATGTATTTATGGGCGTTGTTCAACGTCAGTGGACACAGCCTGGCACATTGACCAATCCCAGTGGGGGAGACAAATCTCTTTAGTCTGTCGAGGGTAAGATGGAGGATGTGTTGAAGTTGCCCGAGATGGATGCCCCGGTGGTTTCCTTAATTTCTACCTCTAATTTGCCAGCCGATCTCCTTGAGGGCCTTAAGGCAGAAGATAAACGATCTGAGAAGGCGTGCCACTAGATGCACCAGGCGGCTGCCTGGGCTATCAGGGCATCCACCTTGGCTTCCTTATTCATCAGGGCTTCCCTTCTATGGTTGAGACAGTTGAGAGCCAAACCTCCCACCAGGGAATCCCAGTGGAAACATGACCACAGCAAGATTATCACCGCAGTTGAGTATTGGGCAGATGCCTCGTTGAATGCCGCTAAGTTTGCCTCTAGAGCATTGGCATCCAATGTTACTTCGCGGAGGCTGCTGTGGCTTCGCCACTGGCAAGCCAACATGAAAGCCAAGTGGAAGCTAGCTTTGGCTCCCTTTAAGGGGGGCAGCTTTTTGGGGACACTCTGGACACGTTTGTCATTGAAATGAAGGGCAAACAGAAGATCCTCCTGGCCACTTTGAAAAAGAACGAGCGTAAGAACTCTGGCTCCTTTTGTAAGCAGTCCTTTCGGAACCAGGAATCTAACCAGCCGTCTACCTCGTCTACCTACCATAGACCCTACTCCCAGGGAGGAAACGGATCAGGACAGGGATTCCTACGGGTCCCGGGGTAGACAGCAGCAGCAGTCCTTTTGGAAACCCAGGGAGTGTGAATGGCACAAGTTGAATGTGCGCCGTACGGTTCGGATATACATCAAGAGAACCAAGGAATTTCGGCGTTCCGAATCGTTTTTTGTGTCCTTTCTTCCTGGGTCACTAAGTCACAAGGCGTCTTCTCATACAGTTGGTCGCTGGTTGCGGGCCTGCATCAAGCTTGCTTACGAGCACCAGGGCAAGACTGCACCGAGCCACGTGACCGCACACTCGAGAAGGAGCGCGGTAACTTCGGCGACTTGGGCGACCCAGGCTTCCATTCTCAACATTTGTAGAGCGGCCATGTGGGTGTCTCCCACTGCATTTACCAGGAACCATAAAATTGACATCTTTGCCTCGGCCGAAACCTCTTTTGGACAGAGAATTCTACAGAAGGTAGTAGAGGCTTCAGAGACTCTGGTCTCTGAACATTATAGCTTGGGTATGTCCCACGCTTGGACTCTACAAGCAGCACATTGGAGAAAGACCTTTGGCTTACCTGAATGGTCGTTCTCTGGGCGCTGTGAGGAGAGTCCAATCCCACCTGGATTTCTGGCATTGAGACTATTGACTGGACATGACTGTGAAACAGCCTTCCTGCACGCTTGCTTCTTCGTTTTAAAATTGAAACTATGGAGGCAAAGGGAGGCGTGGCCAAAGAGAGAAAAAACTCAGTCCTAGGGCAGATAGACTGTGTTAACCCACGCTTGGACTCTCCTCGCAGCACCCAGAGAACGACTGTTCAGGTAAGCCAACGGTCTTTTTGTGAGTTTAAAAAAATAGTCTAAATTCATGAAACTTGATATTATATGAAAGTTAAGGAGATTTTCAACAATTTAAATTTTATGAGGCATCTATTAGATCATTATTTAGGCAACTCATAATTTCGCACCAGTGCTGAAATTTACAAGATCGCTTCTCACCTTGTCACATACTATAGAAGAATAACACCATCCTAATATGGAATTTTTTCTTGATATCAGATACTTCCACAGATGCTTCCCCCAGCTTTGAGACATGAGGCAGCTGCTATAGCATGTATTATATACAAAAAGAACATCTACTAACTAAAAGTAATGCATTATCAATCAGCAGAACAGAAAAATGAACTCAAATGAGCCAGTGAAGCACTAGAGCTGGGTATAGAAGGTGAATCCCCTAAGAATCTCTCTCTTGATTTACTCATTGAGCACTGTCTCTGCTGCTGGTAACTATCTAAATTCCGATCACACAGAAGTATCCTTTTTGGGATGCCCATCATAATTTGGTCTGGCTGCTGGACTCCGAATGTAACAAGGAGAAAAGAATGAAGCAAAAAATAGGGCCAGGTCTCTCTTTTTTCTGTCACTTTAGTCTGGCTATAAGAATTGTACTCAGAGTTCTCCTTCTACAACAAGTTTTATATCTTACTGCTATAGAGCTGTGGGGTCCATAAAAGCCATTCTTTACCTTGGTTGATCTTCTGCTGTTCTACAGCATGCTGAGTAGGACAGTGGACTGAACTATAATAATATACCATGGCAGTAAGCCAAAATATTTCCATTAAACATGAAGCTGTTGGAATTGAAATCAGTTACCTATTTTCTCTTCATTGCCTCTGAAAGGAATATGATAAATTCTGATTTTGAATTGCTTATTTTTTTCAGAAAAGTTCAAAGCATTTTTGATTACTTGTCTTCAGATATTTTGGAACAAGCTGTTTACCAACCACTGCACTGGCTAGCCGGCATATCAGAGTTTTCCTCTTCATTGTTAAAGTAAGTATCTTTGTAATATAGATAAGACTCGAACCCCTGTCTGTGTTCCATATTATTGCTTTTACTGATAAATTGAAATGAATTATACCACTTTGAAACATTATGTTAACATATGTATTTCATTGTTTAGTTTCTTTAAAAAACTTGTTTTTGCTTTACAAATTTTATAAAGCAATTGTTTTTATATTTGTTTTTTTGTATTTGATTTAACTTTGAAAAAGTAGCAGTCTTGAGAATTGGTGAAGCTACTAAAGCTTACATTTATTGCTTTGTTCGTATTTGGTATTTTTAGAAAAATGGCATGTTTAAAAGCAAATGCATAATTTTCTTGCTGTTTCAGTAAGTGTAATAACAATTTACATATGAGACATATGCTACCAGCTGTACTGCCATTTCTTTTCTAACTTTGGATCAAAGTCCTCTCACATCCATTTCAAAACCTGTTTGGGCTTCTCAAAATATTTTGTGTCCCTTCCTACTAATCTTTAATTTCTAATTAAATACTAGATTTTTTTCATTTGTATTATGAAAGAAAAAAGATGTTTAGGTTTATTAATCATGTTTTCTAGTTGTGATTTTTTGTTTTTTCTCTTCTGCTTTATACAATTAAATTGCTCTCAAAGAAAATCTCAGTAATTATATTATATACTTTAATAAAGCCCCAATTTGGGATTACAAAATGATGATGACCGTAATTCTGCTTAGCTAAATCATCATTTTGTAAAAAGTATATAGAAGATGTTGATGCTGCCAGAAGTCTGTATATGGTAATATGATGAGCTACTCTCCAACTGCAACAATGTTTTATTCAGATGGATGCAAACCATAACTTTTCTCAGTATAGAATTATTTATTCATGTCATATTTTATATGTAGTTAATCTTCTGCTGTATGTGGGTGTGGCTAGTCTTACATTCGTGGCTATATGAGCTTGAAAGATGAAGTAACATATGTTTCTCCATATGACCAGCGAAAAGTTTTCAGTAGTTTATTAGTATTAACACAATGACTGAGTGAACATTTCAATTTGCACTGTGCTTTAAAGAGTCTAGAGTAATTGCTAAATACTGAAAAATAACACTCCGCCTGGTTAGATGTAAGTTTGTATGAACTCCATGTTACAAAGATCCTGCTGTTTTCTAATTAATAAATGTAAAGTCAATTTGCTGTTAAATTATATTTTATGATAGATATTGAATTATGAATAGGTTTTAGGCATTGTTATAATGTTAAGTTTTATTCATTTTCTTAATATTCAAATAAATGTATATGAAAAAAGTTTATGTATTATGATATGAAGCTGAAGAATAAGCTGTCTAATAAGCTGTCTTTGTATTGAATATGTTTTGCAAGTGTGCAATCTAGAATGATGTGCTGGTATAATTATGCGTTTAACTGTAAGGCATGCTAAAAGGCTACAATTACGGTTTTTTAAAAATTATATAGCACAATTTATTTCTAACCAAGAAATTAAAATCCTAAAACACCCGAAAAAGCTTCATTTAAAATTGTAACCAACCATTGTATATTTTTCTTTCTTTCTATTATGTGTCAGAACCTATATAGGAACACAACATATTAAGAATTTCTCTTACATAAATTTTGTTTAAATAAATTAAACTGTTTATTTTTTGTTTTATTATAGAAAGCTTGTGCCTTCATCCAATATTGTAGGATATACTGTAGTTGAAGATAAAATATTCCCAAACACGCTCCACGAAGCATTCTTATTTTAGAGGCAGATTTCTATTAAATACATGTCTCTAATAGTGTGTTCTAATACTGAACTTTAGGTGTGTGTGTGTGTGTGTGTGTGTGTGTGTGTGTGTGTGCGTGTTATAATTTTGCTTTAATTATGACTTTAGACTTCATTTCAAATATTTACAGCACTAACTCTAAATATATATAATCCTCAATTATACTAAAATATTTCATATTTATATAAACATTAAACAATGCCTGGCTTGTGAAACAAGAGAATTAATAGTCCCAATAAAGAAACTAAGTGAGATTGCCTTGGACCTGTTATAGGTGTATTATTCGTTTAGCATATGTTAACCGGCTTTTAGGGTGTTAAGATAAATATAATTCCTTCCCCCAATAGCAGTGGTGGGATACAATTGGTACGCCCTGGTACTGGCGTACTGGTGCCTGCTGCGAGCACCAAGTACCGTTCCGGTATGTGCTATGGAGGGCCCATCCACCTGCTCACCCTCCTTACCTGTATTTGAGTCTATCGGGGCTTTTGAACACGTGCACAGAGTGTACAGCGCCGGCACACTGCTCTGCTGAACAGTTAGAGCATTGCGGGCGGTAAGTACACATGTGCTTGCTGCACGTGCACTGTACACGTGCATGTCGTGGACGCTGGGCCCCGTTGCAGCATACCGGTTGCAACGGGACCCAGAACCCACCACTGCCCAATAGCATCAAGTATACATATAGTAAGCAGACATGACATCATTCAGCAAACTGGGGAATTAAAGTTCAAAGGAATTAGGATTACCCTAAACTTTTAGGGCTGTTGATTTCACAGGTAAATTATATATATTACTCTGTATGTATCTTTTATTTTGAAAGGACTCCAGCTGGAGAAATGACAACTCAGTGTCATCTGAAGTTACTATTATCCCAGCCATATTGTAACTGGAACTTGCTTTTGCGAACACTACTACATCATGATTGCCGCTTAGTGAAAATTTTGCTGAGAAGTTTTAGTAAGTATTAATTTTATCATGTTTCTAATAATGTGAATGTGCAAATATAATGATATTTTTCATAGTTTTAATCCTAACCTTTTAAATTATTTGAATATTAATAGGAGGACTTTATGATATTGTGGAATCAAAACAACAAATAATCAAAGCTCACTGCATTGTTTATTAGACAGTACATACTGAAGGGGTCTCTTCCAAAATTATCGTAAAAGACCCTATTGCAGACAAAGAGATGCATATTTATACATTTCAGAATGGAGGAGAAAATGATGCAGGCACACATATACTGAACATAAGTAATAGATGATATAAGATACATATTCATAAGTAATAATGTAATAAATCTCAAGTACCTACTCACTTTTATCTACGTAAAATAATGATTTTAGTTAGAAGAAGCATTTGCACTTTGAGATTCAAATGCTGCTATGGAGCTAATAATAGCAGGCCGCTGTACAGTGAAATTCTGTAGGTCTCAATTTATCTTAAACTATTCCATCATCTGAAAACTGATTTTTGTCACAATCTTACTCCCTCTTGAATACAAAGGCATTAAAAGTTTTTTGAAGTAATATCAAGGCCTTCAGATCCTCCAATTCATTTTAACAACTGCTTCCAATGGTTGTATTAGCATGTGCACTGATAGTGAGAAAGACAGATATCTATTGTAGTACTTAGTACTTCATTTCTCTCTTCCTTGCTATTTGCTTAGTTCTGAATTACTCTAACAAATTCTGAAGAATAACCCCTAACTATTAATAATGGTTCAAAAAATTAGATTCATTCTCTGAAGTCCTGAAACACCATTATTGTCCTCCCTAGTTTAAGTAGGGTAGCAATCCTTTCCCTCTACCTTGTAAGATTTTAGATCCTATGTAAAGAAGTCTTATGAAAAAAGTACATTGGAATAAGTTTTCAGTAGGTGGTTTGCTTGCTTGCTTCTTTATTTGTTTGTGTGACTGATATGTGCTCATATTTCCTATGATCCATGATTATTCTCACAAACAGTAGCAATATTTGTCTCATCTGTGCTTCTTCAATCTGTATATCATATATCAGTAAGCAAGATGCAACATATTTGTGATTTTTGTCCACACTTATCTCTACAACTTTGAGATTGGTGCATACATCACTGCATTTGTGTACAACGGTTCATATTTTAGGAGCAGATACAAACATTCCAAACTTCCTATCAAGTATGAGTTTACATCAGACAGATGAAAATACAGTAGTATGATAATATGTTCTGTTTATAATATGGAATTGTCCAGCAAATGATATTTTTGCATTGGTGGACAGTAGCAACTGCCACTGTTTTTGTCATCTCATGAGCTGCCTTTTTACTGCATCATATAGAATTCTTGCTTTGTACACTCTCTGTGCATCAACTTTTGATCAAGTTCTTACCTTTGTCAGGAAGAATCAATATTTGGTATTTGGTTACTCCCAGATTGTTAGACAAATATGTTCTTCACTCCTCTGTAAACAGCCATTAGTCATTGTAGCTGTTTTTCACAGTATCCAGGCTTCCTAAAGGTAGACTATATTGGCTTCCAATCCCTGCATCTCACGACTTTCCTGAATTATTGGCTACTCTAAGGTTGCCATTACTCTTTCTTTGTTGCAAAATGGGACAAGTACATCTTTGAACACATATCCTTGTATCTTATAATATATATTTCAGTAATCATTCTCTCTGGAGCTTGGATGTTTGTCAGTACAGGTTGACTTAATTGCCATTTCAGCATTGCTATGATTGTTTTACTTTTTTTCCTTTTCATTTATTCATGAAACATTTCTTTTAAAGGATTATCTGATGTTTGCTTCCCATAAAGCCAAGTATACTTCATTCTTACTGCTCAATAATCCTTTTAAATCAGGATTTCATTTATGTTAAGGTGGCCTTACTGGTGGTTTCTGCTTTGGCCAGCACGTCTAGTGTATATTTTAAGAACTTTGATGCAATCATTTATTTTCTTAAATGAAGAGAAAGATATATTGTAGCAAGGTATCACCTTCATAAGGAAGATTATGTCTGATTCTAATATTATTTAACAGTTTTATCTGTTACCCAGCTTTGCCATTAGAACCTTCTCTCCATATATTGGATGTCCATAGGACCTTAACATTTAGCATCTAAAACTGAACCCTTTTCCCTGATTCTGCTTCTATTTATTGATTGCTAGGATTTGAATAAAAACCTTGCAGTCTCAATCTGTAGCATAGTTAGAACCCCTTTCCTTGTAAAACAGCAATCTAGAGATAATCTTCCACTTTCATCCAGGATACCAGTATTCCATTTTCATCCAAAGCTACTGACCCAAGAGGGATACCATGCCTTAGCAGGAATACCGTTTTTATTCTGTCTTTATGTAAAATCATACCTTTCCTTATACCTGTATGTGAATACAAGGCCTTTCAATTATGTACTCAGCCAATCCCCTAAACTGCAGGAGCCCCTAAGAAATTGTTGCCATTTATACAGTGGTCACCTATTTCCAAGTCTCTTCAAATAATAGAATTTTAAATTGTGTAAAATTGTTGAAGAATCTGGGGAACTTAGATCTTATTATGCAATATTGCATGATAGCAACATTAAACAGGTTTTTTTTTCCTCAGTCACTTCCTCTGTGGATGATAGAAAGCCCTGTAAAACCATAGTAGGGCGCAATTAGAAATTGTTATGAACAGCAGGCAACGTAGTAAATGTATGAGTGAGCAATTAGATGGCTAAAAGCATATTTTAGGTAAGTTGTCTATCAGCGCCAATCACTAACAGAATCAATCAATTTGGTGCATTTCTGATGGTGCAACAAGCTCAACTGGATGTAGTCATCAGCAGCTGAGGTACAAATAACATTATTCTTTGATAAATTGGAGCAAGAAGTAGATCACCTTAAAGTCACCAAGGAAGGGCTATTGTTATCCCCAAGGTATTGTGCATGAATTTGGGGGAGTTCTACATGAATAGGGCAATTTAAGTTCAGTCTGCTTTTTAATTATATTACGGGCATTTGCACATAATGAATGCACAGATTTTGATTTATAAATCATTCAAATAGGCACGCAGCTTAGGCATAGTGGTCTTCTACTTTTACAAGTTGAAAACTAGTATTCTCATCAACATCTTTAATACTTTTTTGCTTTATAGGAAAAAAATCCTAATTGTTTAGCTTATAACTGTGGCTGCTATGAGGGATTGTTAATTGTCTATCTAAGGATATATTTTCTGAATGATGGGGAGGGAATTCCCTCAGCTTTGATATTATCAGCAGAGCCTTTATGGCTAAAGCTTGGCCTCGAATAAGAATGGCCACTATGGATACTCGATTGTTGCCTAGCAGCCTTGCAGAGTCATTTGCTTTTATCTTGCCTGCTCTTTCCATTCCACTTTATCTTTCTAGCTTCCAACAAGGAAAAAATACCAATGTCCTTGAAAACACAAAAAGGTGTATTATGGACTTTTTCCTGATAAACCCACATTCTCAAGAACATTAAAGGAAGTGTGGCATATTTGAAGGTAAAGCTTGTAATTTTAGCATGGCTAGGTGCCGTTTGCTAAAAGAAACTCATGTCTTCTTAGTAGCAGTATGATGCTGCTCTAGAATACTTTGTGTGGCCTACTGTTGACACTGATGAATCAGGGGGACTTTCTATTGTAGACACAACTTGCTGTATGAGAGATTTTAAATTATGGCTTTTAATGTTAGCCATTAACAGTTAATCATAGATGGAGATTGTTAGTACAATCTGGAGGCAGTGATTGACTACCACATCCATATCTAAGATTTAGGATATAATTTTATTTTCTAGTTCAAGTTACAACTTGTCCTCTATCTTTAGTTGGAACTAATCTTCCAAAATTATTAACTCTCCCAATCAAGCAAGTTATGATTACTGGTTGAACCAACAATTGACTTGAATTATAGGTTATCGATGTTGCTATTGCTGTTACTAGAACACAGTAGACTTATGAATAAAGGTATGTGCCAAGATCCCTGATTAGGTGGCTCAGTGGCTAAGACACAGCTTGTTGATCAGAAAGTCGGCAGTTCGAATCCCTAGTACAGGTCTTCTGCGTGAGCAGGGGGTTGGGTTAGATGACCTCCAAGGTCCCTTCCAACTCTGTTACTGTTAATCTGTTAATAATATTGCAGGATTCAGTCTGGGTTGGTCACTGGGATAAGAGGTTTTGTCTTCTGAGCTTTGGACTCGTGCTGGAGCCCATCTTCGGGGAACTTCTCTCTAGCAGAGTGTATGTGGCATTTATAGTGCCTGTTGTAAGTGGATTTTTATATTATATTGCGGTGTGTTGATGGCTGGCTTTTAAGTTATTAGCTGTCACTTGCTTGTGCTACCCAGCCCTCACCTTCTTAATACTTGAAAAGCTAGTGGTAAATCAGAACTCCTGTTGTTTGACGAGGGACCTATTTCCCAGGCTTCGATCACTTCTCTGGTTGTTTTTGTGCCTGCTTGTCCAACAATCATAGTAGCTGCAAAATTGAATGTGTGTCCTTGTTCATTGCAGAGTGAGGCTACCAATGAGTTCAGGTCTCTTTGTCTGACTGTTGCTTGTGTTCTTGCTCTCTTATGGTTAGCTTCGCTGTCCTACATAGTCATAGAGGCAATTCATGCAGAAGATTTGGTACATTACATTGAAAGTATCTTCCACTTCCAAATGATCTTTATAATCCATAATTTGTCTTGTATGGTAGCCTCTGGGAGGTATGCGATGCCCACTTGCAGAACTTGGAACCTGCATTCTACAGCTTTCTAAATGTTTTTGATGTCGTAGGGTATGCCATGCGGTTGGTCTTGCACTTTGCTTCGTCCTTTCTTTCTTGCCATCCCTTTCTCTCCAGTCTTTCTGCTTGGAGAGGGGAGGGAAAAAAATGAATTCTGTAGCTAATCTGTCCTTTACTTGACTAATTGCAGCTCTGAGGGTTGGTTGTCAAGATCTTCTGCTAATGAAGCTGCTGTGTTGGGATTCCTCAGTTTACTGATGTTGATCTGTTTCATCACAGTTTTGTTTCCCTGTGCACATCTCTTTGGCTTGATGTGAAAGCTTAATTTGGAGATGATGAGTCTATGGTCAGTCCAACAGTCAGTGCTCAGCATGGCCTTAGTCACCCTTTCATCCTGTCTGTCTTTCGTCCGCACGATGACATAATAAGATTCCAGTGCTTGGAGCGTGGGTGCATCCAGGAAGTCTTTTTGCGACTTTTAACTCTGTGTACCTTAGCTACCTAAACTACAGTAAAGAACTGCAAGGTACTGGAGTTGGCCAAAGGAAATTGGGGGAATTGGCCCCTTCTAGCAGTTCTAAAAATGGAAAGGTTTAAAAAAATCCTGTCTCAAGTGAGCAAGTAATAGGGGAGAAAATAAGTTACAGGCAGGTATTTCTAAGTGTTAAGAATTATGGGTTCAGAGAAGGCAATTCATCCATTATACAGAGAAATTATCGGAGAATGTGAAAGAAGAAAGGATATGTTTTCTCTTTTCTATGCTCACCATACTACTATTCCCTAATGATATATTAAGGTGCCTTATATCAGTCTGTTCATTTATCTGTGCTGTCTCTTCTTACTGATAGCAATTCACGAGTGTCAGGCAGCTCCATTATCTATTATCTGATCCCTTTAAAGCAGTGATAAGCAACATTTTTAGGAGACAAAATCTATTCCAGCATTGAATGTTGCCATTTCATGTACCTACACATGACTAAATGTCTATCTTCTCTAAATTTACAGAATAGTTAGCAGTTACTTTATTTTTAAAATTGTTACACTTCCTTTTTGTTGGAGGTTCAAATCCAATGGCACTGATTCTTTAGCACATTATCATCTATTGACCACAAGGGAAAACTGAGTGAAGCTAAAGAGTTAAGGATTTCCCATGTGTACACACTTTCACTGTGCATGCTCTTGTCCAAGGGATCCTTAACCTAAGGTCAATTCCTTCTGCTTTTATTTCCAGAAACATACCAGATTAATAATATGCTCTTTTACTCTCTGCTGGTAAATATAGTTGACTAGATGCTAAATTTTGTGTATTCATATAATGCAATCTGTGTAAATAATATATTTCTGATATAGTTATTAAACCTGCCTGTTCACTTAACCAATTTCTAAGAGCACCTTTAATCTTTGGTCAGATCAGATTCCTACTCTCTCAAGAATGTTCAAATTGCACACAGAACAGTTTCTGACTGTTCCTTACAGTTCCATTACCATTTTGGGGTGACTTTTACCTCAAAATGAAATAATTTATTCTCAATAATTATAGACAAAAGTTATAAAAGAAATCTGGATATATTCTTTTTGCCTGCAACAACTATTAATAGGCTCTTATTTCAAAACAACTAACAGCTTGAGCAAAACTATTTCTGTTAAGATCTGAGTATACACACATACACTCACATAAAGACACACAAAGACAAACATATATGTATGTACATAAACACAGACACATGCACAAGGTATATGTATGACAAAGAATGCACACAATCTTAAACTGATTGGGTTAAACAGAAGCTATTGTAATTTATTTTTTAAAAATAAGCTATTTGACATCTTTGGTTTCGAAATGGCTTTATGAGTTTACATTTTATTATTTTGTAATTTTAAACACAACACAATATACTATACAGTTTGTTTGTTTGTTTGTTTGTTTATATTAATTTTTTTTAAATCTTGTCTTAATTTTGCTTAACTCAAGGAAGTGAGTTTGTTTTAATTCCTAGAACCAGTCTGGCTTTAGTGGTATTTGAATAGATACTGAAAAAAACTTGTATATTAAAATTTATTAAAATTTATTTTAAATATTTAAACAGTTCAGAAATAGTTCATTTTGTTATTTAGAAAATTTATTATTGTGCAATCAGGATTAATGATTTTTGTTCAACATGTTATCCACACAATTATAGAAATCCTTGAATATCTCAGCCAGTTCCAATGCATAATTTGGGAGTTCTCCTAGATTCATGACACCTATTCAAGAAACAGACAGAAGTTATGGCTAGGAGAGCCTTTTAAGAACTTTGTGGCTAAGAGAGCCTTTTCAGAACTTTCCAAAAGTTGCGCCCTTTCCTGAATCCTGAGTCCATGCACTCAGTCACTCATACTGTGGTTATCCCTGATCTGGATTATTGCAATAATAATGATACTTGGGAGTATCTTAGGAAGTCACAATTGGTCTAGAATGCAGTGGTGCAGCCAACTGGCAGAGTCAGATTTTAAAGGTCTTATGGAAGGGCAAGAGAATGAGGTGGATCTCACTTGGAGAGGTACAACGTTCCAGAAGGCAGAAGCCACAGCAGAAAAAGGCTTTTCTCCTGGACTCCACAACTGGAATTCCTTGGCTGCCAGGGTCTTCAGGATGAGTAGGGCAGGTGAAGCCCATCAGGGTGAGAAGGTTTCTCAGGTAGCTTGGATCAATGGATTTCTTGAGTAAAAGCATTTCTATTAAAAAGAAATTAAAGTATGAGTGCACACTGAAATTGATATAAAATTAAGTAATTAAGAATTAAGGAAGGTTTGATTGACTAGGATTTAATCCTAATTGATTGATTGATTAGGATAGAGTTGAATGGGGAATGCTCCTATGGAAGGGGGGGAGCTTTCATAGTTTTCTTATGTTTCTGCAAACTTGAAAATTCCTCAAAGAGATGATATCTTGCTCTTGTTTCTTAATTACTCAATTGAGACAAAATTAAGAAATTAACTTAATTACTTAATTTTGTCTCAGTTGAGTAATTAAGAAACAAGAAAAATGGAAAGAAAAATAGGAGGTAATGGACTCTTGGATGGTTAGTGATTATTTGGATTAAATCCTAATCAACCATAGTTCTGTAGAATATATGGCCATACTAGAACTGTTATTATATGTCTTTTTCTTTCTTTTCTTTTTCTTTTCTCTTCTTCCAGAATCTGAATTGTCTACAAGTAATGAACAAAGTACTTGTTTAGATATGAAAGAGAACAATGACATCAATCTAGCTGAAGCAATATTTACAGTATTGTCTTATTGCACTTTATCTCCCAAATCTCTTGGTGATGCCCTTCAGAACTACATGGAAAAAGAACACATGTGGGATTTCTTACATAATATATCAGGTAAGTATAATGTAATAAAATGTATCTTGAATATTATACTCTCAGTTTTCTTGATTTACAAGGTGTGTTAAAACATAGATCTTAAATTATTGAATAATACAAGTGTTCTCTTTCCCTCCAAGATGCTATGGTACAGTAATTAGGGCAAGGTAGTGTTTAGACCTGAGTTGATACAGTTGAATATTAGATTTGTTTTCATCAGTGAAAACAATTTCATATATAAAATATTAATTCTGCAAGAATTAATGTGGCATTTGGACAGTAACATTATTCCTCTGAGAACATTTAATTTCTGTCTTTGAGATATTTTGAAATACTACAGAAATTACTTCCTACTCATCTTGATATGTAGTACCCCTTGGCACTTTCAATTTGAACTTCATTTCAGGGATAAACTATATGAAACATTAATCTCAAGTGCAGGACAGTTTTTTTCAGAAATAACTGTCACAGTGGGATGGATTGGGACACTAGCAGGGGAGGTTTAACTACTTGTTCTTCTGCAGTCCTCTCAGATTCACCCCATGTCTGAGTTTTAAATTTTCATTTATGTCAGAGAAGCCTACATAACTTCTTCTTCAGTAAAATAGTATATGTTAGTCTCGTAAGAGTTGGGATTGTGAGGCTGAGAGAACAAAGTCAGTCTGGTGGCCCGGAACAAGTATCAGGTTCTTTTTTTTTTTTTACAAATGTGTTTTGTATTTAATTTTTTTAAACTTTTTTTTAGTCTCTTACCAAATATCTCAAAGAGAATGATAATATGATGATGACGATGATGATAGTCATTATTTTTCTAAATGTATGTCTACTAAAAATATTTTACAGTTGAACCAGTCATAAAAGCATTTTTAAATTTCAAACAAACAAACAAATAAAAGAAGCATTGTTTTGGATGCTAGTGGTAATCATTTTTATTTTTTTCCTTTAAAGTATTCGACTGCGAAAAATAAATGTTTAAAGTTACAATAATTATGCCATAAAGAAGTTCCGTGGGTTCTATTTATGATAAGAATCTAGCATTAAAAACCAAATGAAACTTTATAAAAATCCTCATATTGAAATTTACTCAACCCTGAGTTACTTGTTTCACTATCTTTAATGTTTTTTGTTTCGGTAGTTTCTAGTTGCAGTGAATTAGAGCCAGAAGTTGTCAAATGCTTGAAATCGACTTTGATTAATTCAGTTAACGGAACAGTAAAGGAGATAATCTCCTTGATGCATTCATGGGAAGCATCAGAGAAATATGGCACCTATCTGCCTAATAAAACTGTTCCTGAAAGTTTGTTGAGTACAGTTCCAAAGGAATGGAATTACATTTATAAAGATGTAAAAACAGAAGATTCTAGGAAAAGTAAGTATCTTTACTTAAGCCTCTAAAAATATTAATTAACCATTTAATGACAATATGTAAAAATGGAAGAGGTTTTGATCATGAATATCTTGGTAACCACTTTATTGTGTTTTTTTGTTTATTAATATAGTTGACTTATTTTTTTAGAAAGGTAATGGAAAAATATGTATAATTTTATTAATGAGGATTCAGCAAAGTAAATCATGTTCAGAGAGGAGGAAGAAAGAGCTCTTTACAACTGAATATTGTGACATTTTCCCTAGAATTCTCTGTTGTAGTTGAGCTCCATCATTTCTGGACTGAAGAACTACATTTATTCTTAGCATGTTGAGTTGCTCTATCTGTTCCACTCAGGGGTGGGTTTCTCGGTTCGGTTGGAACGGGGCCGGCGGCGTCCTCGTGCACGCGCATGGTGCACGCATGCGTACTAGTGTCTGTGCGATGTGCAAGCTGCTCCTGGAGGATCGCGCAGGCGCTGTATGCGTCCTGCGCATGCGTGGAAGTGCAGAACTTGTCAAAACCAGGTAAGAACCGCGGATGGGCGGGTGGGCCCTTCGCCATTCCCGGAAGTTACTTACTTCTGGGTTCGCCGACCAACCGGTTCGCAGGGACCGCCGTGAACCGGTTGAAACCCACCCCTGGTTCCACTGTAGGAGTTGATGACAGTTATTAAATGTCTGTAATTCACTTAAATGGCTGCATTAAAAAATATTGGAGCACATGCTAAACCATAAAGCACAGTTAAATATAAACATTTAAAATGTTTTGGGAATGTAGTGAAAAGTGGAAGCAATGTGTACTCTTAGAATTAGTAATGTAATTGAATGCATGTTTGTAAATAGGTTAGACAGAATAAGAAATATTTTTTTTCAATGCAATCCTTGCAGCAAACGGTATATGGCTCCAAGTACACTTATAGAATAGCTTGTATTCATATTGCTATAAGTTGCATTAGCTTCCAGGCAACCATAAAAAATCATGTCAATGAGCTGAGTGGCCACAAAAATTTAATAAACTAATGATATTGGTTGTTGTGAGTTTGTAATACTTTCCAGGGGATGGATTTGCTACTGTAAAAATATGATAGGGCCTATTGAAAGGAAAGAATGTGCTTTTTAGATTTGCACCTACATAATAACAAAATCATTTGTTTTACTGTTCTGTAAATATCATAGACTGGAGCTTTATTGAAAAAAACCCCAGTAAAATGTGTCCTCTCACGAAAGCTAGCTAGATAACCCAATATAAACATCTGAATTTATGAAAAGCAGATTAATCTTTCTAGGAAAGAATAAAATAAAAATAAAAATGCATTCCAAATGGGCCTCTGCCTGTTCCAGTGTTCACATGCAGTGCCTAGTCTATATTAGATTTTATCTGCATGGTTGAAGCAGTGGTGATCAGGTTGGCTCAGTCTCATATGCCATAATGGACAGATGAGTGAGAGAAATGTGTGACAGACACAATTAAATTAAATTACATTAATTGTATTGGTTGTGACTCATTGCAAAATAAAATAGTTTAATTTTAATTATATCTGATTTCATTTTTCTTTTAGGTTTCACAAGGCTTGCTGCTCAAGTTCTATCTATTGTAATCAGCAATTTACCTTCTGTAATAGCATGTTTGCCATCCCCAATTAAATATTTCTTTTTAGTATCTGATAAAAAAATACCAGAAAAGTTTATTGAATCAGAGAAATACGGTTTTCTTGTCAAGACTTTGATTATAATTATATGTCAGATATTTGAGGATGGAAACATCATAGAACTTTTAACGGGTGCAATTCTTGACAGATGGAGCAAAGAAAAGCTTAGTTTAGTTTGCATATGTTTGGAAACTATTATAGGAAAAAAGAAAAAGAATCCCAAACAAGCAATTCATAAGATAATTCAGAGCATTGAACAGGAGAAGCCAAACTGGATTGAAAAGCAACTACTAAAAGCAAAAAAACTGAGCACAGAATGGTAAGAAACATTTTTCTTCTTTGTTATTGTTACTGCTAACCTCATTAATTTCTGAGAAAATAATACAAATTTTCTGGGGGAAAAGCATGTGGTCATTCCATTCAAGTCCTTCTAATTATTTAAAAGGCTATACTCATGCCACTTCCACTTCTAGCTATCTGTAGCCTGGACTGTAAGAGAAGTCATCTTTGAAACTCTCTTATGTCTTTCTGTCTTTGAAGGGTTTTCTGTCTTTGTATCAAAGCCTTACCACATTGCCTGAATCCTTGGTCTCTTGAAGTAAAAGTGTGTGTATGCATTGTTATGTTTTTGTATCTTTGGGTTTCTTTCTTTCTGCCAAACAGTGTATAAGGAAAGATGTAAATGCCATTGATCTCAGAGATCCAGGGGAAACTGATTACCCAATAAATCCAGTTTCTTTTTTTGCTGATGTTCCAGATAGATTAAACTAAAAAATAGTGTTGGAAGAAATATCTATCCGGTTCAGTTCCAAGCGGGGAGAAAGACACTGAAAACATGGTGGCTGATATGGTTTAATGGAGCAGAACCATCAAGCACATGGTCCTGGTGCAGCTAAACACATCGAGTGAAGAGTGAGGGTTATTTATACCCTCTCTTGGCCCTTGCCCTTGAGCTTCCTGTTCCTGTGGCAAGGAGATGTATTCTACTAGTTGCTGTCAGACTCCTATGGATCTATGCAGGGGTCATAGCTAACTTTGTAGGTGCTGATGCAATGACAGGGCTTGTTGTGCAATTCCTATTGTGGCTGAAGGTTAACCATCCCTTGGTTCAGAGCCAGACCTTGCTGCAGGCAGTGATGGATTACCAAAGCTGCATTTCTAAAGCTGCCCCAGCTCAGTATCTGCTTGGGAAACAGGGGGAGGGAGCTGAAGCTCTGAGTTTCTGTCTCTCTTAAGATTTCTCTTTCTCTTTTAGGGGAAATATAATATTCTGCCTTCTCACCAGGTCTCACTTCTAAAATCCTTTTGCATTTTTTTTGTGCTTAATGCAATTTTCATTGTATTTTTTATTTTGCAGTAGGCTACTAAGAATTCCTATTAAAATAATTGAGTTTTGTGATGCTATTCATATTTTGGCTATTTCCCAAATAAATACATTGAATTCTTTCAGTGTGCTTTATATATGTGAAAGATCTTAACTGAAGAGATTGTTGTATTAGTGATATAGGGTTAAATTCACAAAGATGTATTTTTGGTCATTGTTTAAATATCTATTGTGGTTATGTATCGGGATGTAGTTTAATATCTGAGGCACATTGCTGTTTGGTAACATAATTTAAGCTCAAGTGATTCAACATGATTTACTTTCATCCTGGAGCCATAAAGCACCATTTCAAAAGTGTGTCTGATGAGGCAATGTTCTCTCACTCAGAAAAGAATCCTTGGCCTCCTGTGCTTCGGGGAAGGGCACACTGATGATGCTTATAGTTCTTGCCACATTTTTCGCAGGATAATCTGCTTGCAGGTTTTATTATAAGAGCAACCCATAGAATTTTCACCTTCCCATTTCATTCTATTCATTCTGTTTCTTCTACTGTGGCCTCTGTGGCTGCACCACTAATTTGAAGACACATTCTTCTGTGAAGGTGAGAGAACTTAATTATAAGTTGATGGAATCTTCCATAGTACATTATATCTTGCATTAAGTCATGTCAGGCTTGACATCAGTGGATTCTGCCACACTTTAAGGAAAAGTAATTTGTGTCCAAAATAAAAGCACAAGTCCTTACTTCTGAATACTGAAAATCTCTAGAAGAAGCAAAAGGAAGTGAATCTTCAACCAAAGTTAAATTTTCCCTGCTATAATAGAGCTACTGGCAGTGGAATTATTAGATTAGATGCTGTGCCTTCTCTACTCATAGAACTGTGAACTTTGCTGTAACATTTTCTTGTATCAGTGTTAGTGTTCTACTTCAGAAAGAAAAAAAATTGGAGCAGTTTTGGGAGCAGTCAGTGGACTCAATTGATTTAGTGTTTGATCATCCTTTAATCTGCTCTCAAGGGATGATTATTTGGATGATCATTAAAGGAGTTTATTTTATTTTCTCCTCCTGTTGATACTGATTGGATATGATGATGATGATATCCATTCAGTTGTGTCTGACTTTTGGTGATTCTATAGGTTTCTCCACATCTTCCAATCTTGCACTACTTCTTTGAATTTTTCTATGACTGGTTTCAGCTTTGATGGTGTCCAGCCACTGGGTTCTTTTGTAGCCTGGTTTCCTTTGTCTGTTCTTGCATTATCATCTACAATGATAAAAATTAGGTTGTAGAGTTAGTTAATTAGATAGTTGTATTTAAATCCTGCCTTCTATTGACCATTTTTTCCCACTAGAACTTTGCGGGGTAGGTTGGGCTGACATATTGTGGCTGGCTGCAAGTCACTTAGTGAGTATCCATGGGTGAGAGTGTACTTGAACTAGGGTTTCTTAGGTCTTAATACAGCGCACTCTATATTGGCTGTTACTAGAACCCAGATGTAGGCATCAAGTATAATTTCTTCCATTAACATTGAAATATATATCTGGTTTTTTTCTTGCATCTTTTTAAAACCATTCTTAAACTCAACCACATCTTGCTGGATTGGCTTCAAGATTTGTACTTGAGCCAGGATCTCTTTTAACAAGATAATTGAAGATTCCTCTTCTGCATCTTTTCTGGCTCAGCAGATAATGACACACAGTTGGAATTTAGCTATAGTGCCATCTCAAAAGTGGAAGACCAGCATTGCAATTGTGTTAGTGCAGAATTCTGTGATAATCCTGGAACCTATTGTTATGTTGGGAGAAATGTCCTTCTGGGTTCAGCTCCAAGTGGGGAAAAAGACACTGGAAACATGGAGGCTGCTTGGAAAGATGGTTTAATGGTGGACAACCAATCAGAATACATTTTCTTACTCAG